ATATTGCATGTATTTTGTAACGGCATGTAATTTTGTATTTTAAAATTATGTTCCATGCTCATGTGCAAAGAGAAATTTTGAAGATGTTTTCTATCTCTGCATTTATAATGTTCTATCTATCATATTATTTGAAGAAGATGGTTATATACTGTCAAAAGTGCTCATACTTGTTAATTAAACACATAGATCAGTAAAGCCAACAGACAGTTTTTATATTTTCATTTATTTTTAGTAAGTGGCATTGCTTATTGTTTTTATCTAAAACAAAAAAAATTACCTTAGCTACTAAAGAATACAAAAACAACAAATAAATTAACTGCTATTTTATAGAGAAGAGATGTTAAGATACTGAATTCTGCTGATACAATCTGATACTGATAATTTTCCAAGCAATTCAATTCAATACTTGCTTCCATACTCTACAGGTGTCAGTAATAAGTGAAAGCTTGAAAGCACAGAAAATTCTCTTTGTTCTCTAACCATTTATAATCAAATACTGAATAAAGAAATAAAAGTTTACAAATCAATTTATGGATTCCTTTAAGATCTGGACCATAGGAAATTGTAATTGTCTAGTTTGTCTATTATCCCTGGTGCAGGAATTCTATGGAGAGGACAGATGCAATTGTGGGGGCCGAGGGGGGAGAAATAAAAAAGTCTTTCGACGAACGATAATAGTTGATACGTATCGTCATCGTCGCCCTTGCCGTTTGGATTGCCGAGCGGTAACAATCAACGCCATGTGGAAGCAGTTGAGTCAGAGATAGATGCTTCGTTTACAAACAACACAACTGTTTATTAAACACGAAAGAAGCTAACAAGATTACTGCGATCTTGGAAGTTCTGTGGCGGCTGCGGCCTCTGGGTCTTCCTCTCCTTTCCAAGATAGTCCCATTTTGAAGGAGTGTCCCTTGTTCGCGAAGGAACCATTCCATCACGTCTCGACGACTCCAGGACGATGCGGTCGACTTCCGTTGATGGAAAGTTGTCGATCCGAGGTCAGGAGATGGAGACGAAAATGGGTGCGAGACACACACACAACAACAGATCCGTCACTTGGAACTTTCGGGAGAAGAAGCCCTCGCGTCCTCGAATTTCCGGGGTTTTATCCGTTTTCTCTCAGATTCCCCTTTCCGATTGGTCTCTCCTCGTCACCTGATGACAATCCGAAACCTTTCGGGGGCGCGGGAGAGGTCAAAATCGAAGTTTAATTCGATCTCCCACCGGAAATGATCGACGGACTTACTTTCTTTTATTGTTTAAAAGTCGTTTTCATATAATAAAAATCTATTTCTAACTACTAAATATTTTTTCTCTAAAACAATTATTTTCCGCAAATTTTAGTGAGGGTTTGGACCTGTCCAGAGCCTCACACAATTCATAGACCTGAACTCTGCTGATGACATTGCATTGATATCAGAAATGCACCCAAAGATGCAGAGTATGACCACAAGCCTTGAACATGAGGCTGGAAGGGTGGGATTGCAGCTCAGCAGTGATAAAACAAAAATAATGTCTATAAATAGGCAAACAAAAAATGGCACACTTAAACTGGAACTATATAATCAACTGACACCTAAATTCAAATTCCAGCACATAATAAACAAAAATTTTAATGCTATCGGCCGTCTTTTAGAGGTCCTCATCAGGAATGAATGCACAAAAAACAGTTCTATCCTTTGAAAATTTCTAACTTTCAAACTTCTCTGCATTCCAATTTTTAAACATTTAAAAATGATGTTCGATAAAAAAATTGTTATGTTTACATTACATAAATTTTTTTTTTTGGATTCATTCCCGATGAGGGCCTCTAAAAGACAACCGAAAATGTTTGAACATTAAAATTTCTTTGTTTATTATGTGCTGGAATTTGCATTTAGGTGTCAGTTAGTTGATTATAAATAGGCAAACAAATATAAAAATCATAGTCAGGTGTCAAGGAATGGATGAAGTGGAAGAGTTCTGTTACCATGGTAGCATGTTATCACCAGATGAAGGTGTTGAAGTTGATATAAAATGTTAACTTGGTAAAGCATCAGCTGTCTTTCAGTGACTATTTTCAATCTGTTCCAAATGAGCAATCAGTATAGTGACTAAGATATGCCTCTACAACACCATTGTCATTTCAACTGCAATCTACATCTGTGAAACATGAAGATTACTCAGAAACTCAACATTTTCCATCACCACTGTCTTTGAAGGATTCTTAGAATTACATATCATGACTATATATATCACAAATGAGGAAGTCCTCAGAAGTGGTCTACACGAACTACAGGACATTTTTACAGAGCGCAGAATACATTTTGCAGTGTATGTACTTCATCTGCCAGATAAATGCTTACCAAAAATAGACTTAAAATGGAAAAATGGGGTGGAAAAATGAAACACGGTAGATCATGAACAACCTTGCACTCTACATAAGAAAAAGATCTAAAGATTAGCATTCCATGGGATGATGCTGAAACCATTGCAGTTGATTGCATTTGCCAGAGACAGCTGGTTGCCCAGCATGCCACTTGGCACAGAACCTAAGACTAAGTTGGTCTCTGCCTGACTCTAGCCCTGTCTTTGGAAAAAATTGAAAAAAACCATTGTTAGATCACCAACTGGCTTGAACTATTACCAAATTTATTAAAATTAAATAAATTTTCAGATTTTGCAACATTCTACACAGTTGCCTGTGTTCATTGCTAAAAATGTGTTCAGCCTCCCACAAAGCAGCATGCACCCCTTACCAAGTTGATGCTTGCCAAAAGCAACATTAAACACTAGCAATTGGTTGTTGATTCTCACCTTACCTATGGACTGGCCACATGGAGTTTTCCAGATTTTCTTCACATGTCTAATATCTAAATAGATGCTGGTTTCCATAGAAAGTTTTCCTGAGATGCATTCTTTGTTGGCAGATGGCCTGTATGTTAAGTTGTCATATTTCATCAAATCTAAACCAAAAGCAACCAAGCATTGGTTGGTTTTGCAACCAAAAGCATTGGTCGTGAATCATGTGCAGTGTTCTGTCTACCATGAATTATGTTTACAGGGTTAGGGTCTGTTTTAATAATTTTATTAATAATTACTAGTTAATATTTTTACTACTACAGTTAAATGAGATACAACATAACAGTAGTGGAGGAAATGATATTAGAAGAAATGAGGATAAATGGTTTATGGCATGGTGTGTCCATTGCCTTGTTTGATGCTAGTTAAGGCAAACAATGTGAAACATGCACACTGAAAAAATAAGGAAAAAGATTGATGTATTGATTTGTAAAACAAACCAATACAAACTTATCAGGAACATTTTGATATGCTGATATATTGGTATTGGATCAGTATTGGCTACATCTCTATTACTTGCAAAACCAGGAAATCATCTTCAATATCCTAAACTTAAAATCAAACAAAACAAAAGGAATAAAAACAGCCAAAAATCCAAATTCAACTGAGAAGTGAATTTATCAGAGAAATTAGTCAGTTACTCATAGTCATAAAATATACAATGATTTATGTTGCATGACTAATAAAGGACTGCAATCACTTAAGTCTGAAAAGAAACACACTCAATTATAATAGGTAGAAAACTATGATTAGTTTCACAGATCTCAGAACTTTTCACATTATTATTGTTTGTATTACCATAAGCTTTGGTATATAACCAATTTGGTATCTGTGAAAGATAATTTAAAGAGGATGTGGATTATATGCTGATTTCAAATTCCAATTGCAAATTAAAGTTGATCTACATTATATGGCCAGCTGGGGGCAGGCAACTGACCCATCAGACCAACAATTATATATTTACATGTTTCTGAGAAATGACACAATGTTTAACTATACTCCCTGCTGTTTTTATAACCCTGATCTATTTTGATGGATTAAACTTTAATTTTTTTAATAAATATTTGCAATTAAGATACAGATTAAGCTACTACTATCTAAAACTACACACCTGTGATTTATTATAATCTAAACTTCAAAGTTGATTTAAATAAGAATTTGCAATTAATTCTTAACTATTCTTTGTTAATTTTTTCCTGATAATTAATCTTTCAAGAGAGAAATTTATTCCATTAAAGAGCTTATTCATATTCTGTCACCATCTATTTTTACCCTTTAATATTTTACAAATTAAATATAAAATTCGTTGATAATGAATATTGTTTAAAAATCTAGAACTTAATTTAAAACTAATCTACCTAACTTATATATGATTATCATACAACTTTGATTTCATTACATAATCTAATATTGAAAAATTTAATATACTTTAAAAACTTATATTGAACTTTTTGAACAGTTTCAAAATTAGTCATAAAACAGGTTGGTTATGTGTAGTTATTGAAGATTTAATTATTGAATTTACATCTTTATTATGCAAAATAGTCTTACTTATTTTTATCTTTTAAAATTTATCTGTACATCTGTGTGTCTGTAAGTATGTTTGATTATACTTTGAGTAACTTGTATTGTCTTCAAACATTCCATTATAAATAAAAATTATGCTGAACTATTTTACCTGATTTACAATTGTTAGCTTAAAATTATTAGAAAAAATATTTATTAGTTTTTTAATGTGGGACCAATTAGAAAAAATATTTATTAGTTTTTTAATGTGGGACCATTTCTGAAAACTAATGATTTAGTTTTAGACACTAACATTAATGTTATAATTTTTACAATGTGCAGAAAGATTATTTAATATTCTCTGTTCTTATTGGAGAATAGAAAAAAAACTGACTCATTTGCATAATTTAAACTATTATATTGTTCTTATTTCATTATTGAAAAATCATTAAAAAGAAAACTAGTTTATTAGTGATGAAAATTTAAAAATGCAGAATTCTCATCAGAAGAGATGAAGGTAGTTTTATTTTGAAAATTATTATATCAGTGTCTGAATATTAGCTTTTTATTACTATGATATTTGTTTAACTTCTTTACATCTTAAGTTAATGATGATAATAAATGATAATAAAGTATTTTTTTTATGTTATCAGCTTTTGAATCTTCTGAAAGTGAAGGAAGTGATAGTGAAGAAGAAAATCATCGATTACATCATATACAATGGATTAGTATATGGGATAGAACCACAAGGTAATTATTTTTGAAATTATAATTTTATAATAATATTACCATCATTTCATGTGGATAATAAACATTAGTGTATAACCTGCAGAAAATTGCTAGAACAGAAATTAAATCTTTTTACAGGGCTGTGGAGTCAGAGTTGTCAAAAAATCTGCTGACACTGACTCCTTTTTAGTTCCCAACTTGTTATGTATATAAAACAGAAAAGTATTGGAATCGTGCCAAATTTGATCCTCCAAGCTTTTTGCAAATCTACACATTTGAAGACCTCCCGAACCCAAAAAAAAAAAAATGTCAGTTAAAGAGGAAGAATTTGCACGCATGTGTGTGTTGGTGTCTAATTTTTTTAATTTCTTCATTCTGTTCTGAGATATTAAACAATATCTCAGAATGGATAAAGTTTAAGAAACGAAATTTGGCACTGTAGCTTGTGTATAAAAAGGCATTAATGCTATTAAATTTTGGTTCTTAATTAAAGGTCTACAGGGGGAGACATAGAAGGGGTCATGTGTCATATCTCCAGTGCGGTCAAACTTAATGAATATTTTACTCATTATTAGCGTTCACAATTTTTTTAAAAATAAAACTCATCTCTACCCTCAAAATTAAGCATTTTGTCATTTTATAATAGTAAAGTAAAACCCATTAAGATGTTAGAATGTGATTGGGGACACAATTTAGTTCAACCACTTTGAAGCTTAATAACTCCTATCTTAAACCATCCGACTCCAATTTAAAAACCGCAGAAGTTATTAGGCTTCAAACAGGGTGAACAAAATTGTCCCTTCCCTTGTCTTCTTATAACATGTCTCACCATGCCCTCTAGCATCCCTCTAGCATGTTCTTTAGGAAACATGACACTGATATGAGCAGTTTAGAAGGCACTATCTGAAGCATTAAAATATCATTTTTCTATATATATAATTATAAAATAAATGAAATGAAAAAAATACCAAAAAGAAACAGCCCACCTGTGGCCAACTGATTTCATTCCTTAAATACTGGTAGTTTGGTCATGGGTTCTCACCTTGCCAGGACGGACTGACCATGTGGAGTTTTCCGGTTTTCCCCATGTCTGTAACTCCTGAATAGGGGGCCAGTTACTCTTAAAAAGACCTCCCAGAAGGCATTCCTCTAGGCAGATCACCCAAGTGTTGTACCATAACTGAACTAAACAAACAAACCAAAAAGAAACCATCTAAACTTCATGTATTCATTTCTGATATATTTATCAAATAATAATAATAATACCTCTCCCGTGGTCACCACCTGGTCGTGGTGGGAGAGCCCAGTAATTTTATTGAACCATAGAGCAATGCAGGCTGGAGCGCAAGCTCCTGGTAGGGACACCCATGCCAGTAAGGTCTATGGGGAGAAATGAAGCCAAGAGTGACCACACTCACATTCTGTGGAGATAATTATCATGGTAGTAACCATATCAAAGTGTGATACTGGCTCGGACGTTGCCCAGGTTAACAAGGTCCGAGTTCGTGGGTTAGGCAGAGGCTCACCTTCGAAAAATAGGCCAGTCTCCCTTGGTTACCAGTGGCGAAAGCAGCGCTGGCCCAAGCATCGCTACTGCAATGCCCTCAACAGATGTGAGGAATCAACCAAGCCTTGGTGTTTCTGTGGCAATGCATCCACAGACCACAAAGGCTGGAAAACCACACCAATGGATGAAATGGACAACAGAAATGAACGAGCTTATCATCCGTACTTACTACATCATCGAAACAAACATGACAGCATACAGACAACAACTACACCATAGATTCACACAACAATATCCTCACCTCACTGTCACCAAACAAAGGGTTGTCAATGAAAAAAGAACAATTATACACAACAACCTTATCAAACAACAGGTTGCTGATCAAATACATCAACAGACAGAAACATTTAACATTAGAGAGGTTGAGACGCACGTTTTAAACGTGTAAACGTGTACGTGTGATGTTCGGCGCCGCTTTCCCGTAAGCCTAAAAGTTTGACGATGGTGTTTGGAATGTTGAGCGTGATTCCACCAACTATCCAAACACCATTGTCAAACTTTTAGGCTTATGGGAAAGCGGCGCCGAACGTCACACGTACACGTTTACACGTTTAAAACGTGCGCCTCAACCTCTCTATTATTAATGAAGATCACGTAAAAAAAGTTTACATCACTGCACCAGGAACTAGCTAAACATCTAACACACATCATCAATCCACAAGACATGCCAAAATTTCTTACTTGGGGCATCACCTACATGAAATCTAAAAACAACAACACCACAGAACCCACACAATACAGACCAATTACATGTCTCCCAACACTCTACAAATTATTGACATCCTGTATCACAAACAAAATATACTAACATGTTGAAGAACACAACATTCTTACAGAACAACAAAAAGGTTGCCATAGAAATCACAGGAGATGCAAAGAACAGTTACTCATAGATTCAGTTATTCTACGGCAAGCACACAAACAACACAGAAACATACACATGGCATATATAGACTACAGAAAAGCATTCAACAGTGTTCCACACAGTTGGCTGCTACATATTCTACACATGTACAAAATACATCCATCACTCATTGCATTCTTCCAAAACACTATGCAGCACTGGAGAACAACACTACATCTCAGGGTTAGTAACACTTCCATACAAACAAACGAAATATTCTTTAGGCAAGGAATTTTTCAAGGAGATTCCTTGAGTCCTCTCTGGTTCTGCCTAGCCCTGAATCCATTATCCAACATTTTAAACAACACGCAATATGGCTATAATATCAGACATGAAAAAACAGCACAGTTTACACTCTCACATCTCATGTACATGGACGACATAAAACTTTACGCATCTACACAAAAACAACTTTAGCATCTCCTACAAATCACACACTCATACACCAAGGACATACAAATGGAGTTTGGCTTAGACAAATGCAAAAAACTACACATAGAAAAAGTAAAAATAAATTTAAAAACTCACGCCAATGTTGTGTAACTTATAGATACGAATTCACTGAGTTCAGCGTTAATAAAGTTCCTTTAGTATTGACACAAGTACTTTCGACGCATGTATAATCGTCGTCTTCAGGTGAAAAGAACAAATTTTAACAAGCCAAACGTGCAGGATGTTCCAAAGGAACAAAATATTTAAGTTCAAACAGGCGTCCGGAAATTCCGTTAAGAACGTGCAAATAATTTTTGATATGTTCGAATTTTTATATTTTACGATGTTAGCGGCGCATGCGTGGAAATGCTACCGCGTTGGCGATACGATGTTAGGCGCGTTTCGCTTTTTAGGCGCCGATATAAGGCAATCCACACCCCGGGTAGATCGAGGGTGGGAACATTGCACGCTTCTGAAGTAGCCGTGAGAAGCGCTTCCCAGATAAACACAAGCCTTCGATTGTTGCAGCATTTAATTATTTCCGTTCTGGACCATAACGGGTTGTAGCCTTGCTCGAGAACTTTTTTAGCGAGCTCAGTAGAACATCTTCCTTTGGCTACGTCATCCTGATGCTCAGCAAGGCGGGAGGCGAGCATTCTTGTTGTTGCTCCTATGTATCTTGTAATATTTCCCGTTACCGGATTTTCTAGGTGTATCTTGTAAACCCCTGATTTTTCTAAAGTGGTTAGCCTGTCCCGGTCGTTGCAGATACATCTGCGCAGGTTTGGTAGGGGGGTTATGGGTAGTATGAAATTATGTCGTCAAAATATGTGGCTGAGGGGAAAGAGATTGGTCCAAGGTACGGCAATAATGATTGGATCACGGATGCTTTTTCCTTTCTGTACAGCGTGGTACATGGGTATACGGCCTCTTTTACTTTACGGAGCACATGCTCATATTTGCCATATGTAAATCCTGCAAGAGATACCGCTACTTTAATGATGTCTAATTCCATTTTTGTTGCTAACTGTGTCGATGGAAGCAGTAATGCTCTTCTAACAAGTGATGCAGCAATGGCAGCATTGATGTATCGCGACAGTTGGAAAGCATCTGCCGGGATAATATACGGTAACAGGTCTGATTTGTGGTGAACAGCAAATTGCGGCCCCTCAACCGACTTTTGTATACACAGATCCAGGAATGCTATTGAATCCTCATGCTCCCTCTCCCAAGTGAAACTGATTGTAGAGTATATGCTTGAAAATGACGTGCATCACATACGTGATGCACTTGCATTCATCACTGAGCACAATTATTTCCTTTTTAACAAGAGCATCTACTTACAGAAACGAGGAGTTCCTATGGGCTCCCCGCTATCTGCAGTCTTGGCCGAGCTCATTATGAGAGAAGTAGAGCGTAGAATTTTCGACTCCCCTCTTACCATCAGTTATCCGTCGCTATACTTACGTTATGTCAACGATATCCTAATATTATGGGAGAATACAGAGGAGGAGTTTGTCAAATTTGTACAGCAACTTTCAGACATTTATACAGACACAATCAAGTAGCAAATATAATACACCAAGAGCTTGCAAACAAACACAAATTATTAGACATCCACGAACCATACTACAAGTATATTCCACAGACAGTATTGGAAAAGAACACGCACAAAATGTACTATGACAGAGCCATAATCACAGATAAAACAATTTACCACAACAGACCAGACATCACACATTATAGACAGCCATTCCAAACACTGACAATGTACAAAACACATGCACTGAAAAAATTAGCAAGTACACAGAACTCGCCCAGGAAATAAGACATCTGTGGAGGATGGATAGAGTGCTTATTGTACCTGTTGTTCTCTCCTGTACAGATGTGATACCACACACACTACACAAAAGCCTGGGAACATTACAATTGAATAGAAATACATACATCACACTACAGAAGGCCACTAAATTGAATACATGCCATATTGTTAGGAAATTCCTGAATACTGACACTGACACACTTATTTAATTTTAGTTTTGTTTTGGTTGCTATGCCTTGACTCTGATCCGGCATAGTACACAGCCATCGGTTGTGAACCGAGTATAACCCATTAAACCCAACATAATAATACAAATATGTAATAATAATAACACTAGCTAACACATTTTAGTGCCTTAAATGTTTGACCTAGTCTTGAATATTTTTAGAATGATGATTCCAAAAATAGTTTTCCCTTATCAGATGTAGTTTTGAAGAATCAGCATAAACACCTTATATGGTGCTCCAACCAGTTCTCCATTAAAATTAGAGATACTTAAGAATATAATTTTGAAACTTTAATACATATATTGATGCCAATAATAATTATTATTATTAATGGCATCAATATATACTATGGCAATTCCTAATTCTTTTGAGTTTTACAATTCACTTCTAGGATTAGGAGCATTAAATTCTAGTACAAATAAACATTAAAATATCAAATTATATTTAAAAGAATAAAATTTGAAAATAATCTCTCTAAAAACAAAGTTCAAAGATGACTATAATACAGAGCTCTGATTTTGAATATTCTAGAAATAAAGTTTTAATAAATTATTACTTTTAGTAAAGTTAATATTGTTGTTCTTATAGGTTTGTTTGGAGTTTAAATTTTGAACTTATTTATAATTATTATTTATTTTTTATCAGTTTTTTTTAATAATATATGTTAATTTTTTTATTTAGTGGTCTACATACAAATAATACATTAACATCAAGAGCATTACAACAGTGTCACTTGAAAAAGGAATTAGGTCGAGGTTATGAACAGTTGAATAGGATACACAGTTTACATCAACAGAAAGAAGTGCATAATATAACACTGGTGCATCATCTTACTGAAGCAGCGAAATGGTATCCAAACAGGACAGCTCATCTTCTTCTTAAGAAGTTGAAGCTTGTATCAAGACCAAAGAAAATGTAATTACATAAAATTTTGTCTGTTTAAAGTATCTATCATATTAATCTAAAATATGTAATTCAGTCACATCTCTGACTTCATTATGGCTTTTAAAAAATTAAAAAAAAAAAACAATTTTATTTAATTTTAAAAATTTTCTTAAGTTTAAAGATTTTTTTAAAACTATAGATTTATGATTATTTTTATTTTAATTAATTAAGAATTGTTAATGAAAGGTAAATACTTTTTAGTAATTGTAAAATATAGAATGCTTAAGATTTCAATTACAGTAAAACCTGTCTAAAATCAAACCTGAATAAACTTGAAACCTGCCTAAATGGAAAAAATTCTTTGAAATAGAGAGATTTTTTTTAATGTTAAATTTTACCATAGGCTTTTCCATCATGGAAACAGATGAGGCTTTTAGATATGAAGAACATAACCTGAATAAAGAGGAAAATTAAGATTTCACTTGTAGACAAATAATTAAAAATCCCCTTCAGTATAATGATCACTGCAGAGCATGACAGTGTTTCATGAACAGTTTAAAAAATTTATTAATGTTAGAGTTGATTGGAGTTAACAAGAGACAGAATCAGTTACTACTAACAATTGAGAACTTTCAAGATTTGAAATGAATTTATGAGAACAAACAGCAAATGTAATTTATGAAAACAATGAGAGTAAGTTAACATAGTACAGTAGAACCTCGAAAACTTGGCTCTCGATAACCTGGCACTCCGGATAACTCGGCCACACCCTGGCAGGGGAAAAAAATCCTTAGTTAATTAATTTTCATTATAGACAGCTTTATAAAAGTATAAAAGCTCTCATAAAGTATTTTTCTGAGGTCTGTCTTATCAGGTAAATTACTGTACACAGTGTATTCATTAATTTTCATTTTCATGTAGTAAAGGCTCTATGCCTTCATAAAGTATGTAGTTTTCCTTTGTTTAAGGGTATTTGGGCAGTTTATTCTCTGTTATATTCTCAAGTAAGCAATACATACAAGTACAGTACAGTATTTTCTGAGGAAACACTTGTACTTATTTTTTTTAACCCCATTCCCGATAACTCAGCATTTTCACAAACTCGGCCACCCTTCGGTCCACATTAGGCCGAGTTTTTGAGGTTCTACTGTATTATTGCCTTGTATAGAGTTTTTAAAATTCTTTTTGCCATATGGACACTAAAACAGCCTCTTAATCAAACTCATTGTTGGTTTGTTTGAATAATGAGGAGTAATATTCAGAATGGATCACCCCCAAAAAATTCCTGAGACTTTTTAATCTATTTGGATTTGTTTTCAGATCCCCATAATGGTAGACTGACATACACCATTTGGCCATCAGGTCATTGCATTATATAGATTAGTAACTACTACTGAGTATTCAAAAAACAAGTTTATTAAAATTGTTTATAATTACAGAGATTGAAATCAATGATTAATTAAAGTATTAAAATTCATTGAGAAGTCTGATTACAGCATAATTTAGTTTCTGTATTGCTGTAATGCAATTAGAATTTCCAACAGCAAAGCAAGACTCTAGTTTTTGGTACTTGAGTTGGCTTGTGTGCTGTTGTGTGGGCTGTTAAGGATCACAACTGAGACATATTTGAATGCTTAACATAAATGATGAGGAATAACAAGAACTTTTTCCAATAGTTCTCAATTCTTGCATTCAAATATTCCCATTTTTATTTGAAATTACTTTGAATTAAGCCTAGTGGTAAATTTTTTATATATGAAAAAATGATTTTACTGTAAAAAATCAGTGTGATTGGTGTGAAATTTTTTGTCACAGTTTAAAGATTAAAACAATTAAGAAAATACTAAAACCTATTCAAAACAGAAACCTGCCAAAATGAAAAAAATTCAGTACTGTGCAATTTTAGTTTACATAGGTTTTACTATATCATTTTAGCATGCTTTTGTGCAATGTTAATTTTCATTCAAAATTCAGGTTAAAAATTTTTTTACAGTTTTCTAAGTCTGTATATATTTATAATTAATCACAAATTTACACTAACTTCAGTACTGGAGTAAAATTCTCACTTTCCTGAACCTGTTACCGATGCGTAACGCATATAAGAAATATACAGCGGGTTACAAACGTTTTCGAACTATCTCGCAGTTCTTTCCTAAGGTCAACTAGTTTAGGAATGATTCTGAACGGAGCGTGTGGAATTAACAGGATTGAATGTCATTTCGGCAAAGTCAGTTTTGCTTGACGTGCATGATTGTGAGCTGGTAGAGGTAGCCACAGATCAGCATCTAAAAGAGACTGCCAGGCTAGCGACAGATTTAGCTCCTCCTTCCAGTTGACGCATGTTGCTACTTGGCCGGCTTTGTAAATGGCTATGGATTCTAGCCATTTAAGGTGGTCCTGGTAAGGTGTGCTGGCGATGACTGTAGCTCTATCAAACTGCACCTCGACATCCAGATCAGATGCATATGTAGCAAGTGCAGTGGTAAACTGTCCATGTTGGATATCCGCTCGGTGTTTGCTTATAGGGGTATTTAGGGAACACTTGCTAGAACTGTTGTATAATAAGTCTTTGGCCCACCTGTTGTCTTTCAGTGGAAAGGAATAAATGCCGGGAAGCCTGGTGCAATATGGAGGGTCTTTTTCATTCCTAGGATATCAAAATTGTGGGACATTCTAAGATACGGGTTAAATGTGATGGGAACATGGCAAACTGTGAGGTTCCTGGTTGACATTACCACCCGTGGTGGAGGTGTGTTCCAAGCATTGGTATTGCTCGAGTAAATGGCGCATCACGGTCAGGTATCCATATTTGGTTGCTATCTTCTTAATTCGATCTTGTCAAATTCCACATGCTCTGTTCAGAAGCATTCCTAAGCTAGTTGACCTGAGGAAGAACTGCGAGCTAGTTCGAAAACGTTTGTCACCCACTGTATATTTCATATTTATGTTACGCACCAGTAACAGGTTCAGGGAAGTGAGGGTATTTATAATTAAGGTCATTTGCAAAATAATATGACCACTTTTTTTTTTATTTAATTTTTTTTAATGAAAACACATACTACAAGGTCTGTTCAAAAAGTATCGGACCTTTTTTTTCCCGTGTAAACCAATGATGCGCGAGAGGCCTCCTTCGGTGGAGTTGTGGAGGGGACAGTCATGCACAGTCCTGAATTTTTTCCCGCCTGCAGGAAGCGTCAGTCGTTGGCAATCAGCCTATGAGTGAGGTCATGTAATGCCCTCTCGTCGGATTCCACTAAGCTGGAAAATGACTGAACAACGTGAGCAGCAATATTACATTAAATTTTGCCAAAAACCTTGGCGATACCCAAGCATAAACCATTCGCAAGATTCAGCAGGCTTTCGGGGACGATCCTCGAGGCCAAAAAAAGCGCGGCAGGTCCGCAGCAATATCAAAGGTCATGTTGACAGTTTTTTCGACTCTCGTGGGGTAGTGTGTCGTGAGTACGCACCACAAGGCCAAACCATCGCAAAGGAGTACGTACTAACAGGAGATCCTTCGTCGTCTTTCCGATGCTGTGCGACGAAAACGACCGGATCTGTGGCTGATCAAAACTTAGCAGCTCCATCGTGATAACGCATCCACCCATTCTGCGCATCTGATTCGGGCTTTCGTCGCCAAACATAACACTCCTGTGGTTCGTCACCCTCCATACTCTCCCGACATGGCTCCGTGTGACTTTTGGCTATTTTCCAAGCTGAAAATGCCGCTAAAAGGAACCCGAATTTAGTCGAGAAAAGACATCGTGCAAAATCCGACGGACCGGCTGATGGCCATTCCAAAAGATGCGTTCCAGCAGTGTTTCCAGCAATGGCAAGAACGCTGGGAGAAGTGTGTATATTACCAAGGAGACTACTTTGAAGGGGATTAGGGTTTTGTATATCAAAATCAATAAATTTATTTTTGCCGACCAAAGGTCCAATACTTTTTGAACAGACCTTGTAAGTTCAAGTTTAATTTTTATATAAGTACAAGATAGCTTTATATTTGATGTAATAAATAGCAGTTATTTTTTTTCTATAAATGTTTATAAAGAAAAAGAAAGTGAAACAAGAAGTTTTCAGTTGCAAAATCATATGACCACTACCAGTTTTTAAAAGTTCTCTATTCATATTGTTGCTGGGTTAATAAGCAAATCAACTAGTATTCACCCTACTATAAACCCTACTATAAACCCATCCAGACTTCTATGAGAGTGTCAGGGAAATCGGACTCCAGCTGTTCTCAAGGTCATCCAGCTGTGTAAACAATGACTCATCAGTGTGAAATTTCACAGAAAGGCGAGACAAAGGAAAATAAACTTTGAAGCTTTTTCTTCAAAATTAACTCATTTCTTTTGTTTTTTTTCAGTTTTAAGTATTTTTAATGCTTAATTACATTAAATTAATTAATTGGTGAGGGGCAAGTGGTTAACATGGGTTGGAAAGCAGCATTTTCTGAGTTTGAGAAAGGAAAAATTACAATTTTTAAAGATGAAGGATTATCATGTACAGAATTAGTAAAAAGGATTGGTTGTACCCAATGTGTGGTAAACAATTTTTTGAAACTTGGAAAGCTATATGGGAAGAAGTCCTCTGGTAGACCAAGGAAGCTTATATGTAGGTAAGAAAATAAACTTGTTAACAACAACCTTGACTTTAAGGACAATACAAAAACAGAAGAATGGCCTGGTCAAAAGAATTTATATATTGGAAGAATGAATGGAGGATAATCATCTTTAGTAATGAGAAGAAATTCAATCTAGATGGTCCAAATGACTTGATATTTTACTGACATGACCTTAGAAAATTGCTTTGGTTATAGTGGTAAAACAAATCTTGCATTCTCTACAGGCCAAATGAAAGCTGCTGACTACCAATATCTGTTAGAAGAGAACTTTTTGCCATTTGGGGTGGTGATTGGAAGTCCATTCTGATATTTCAGTAAGTCAATGCAACCAAATATGTTGCAAAGTGTACGAGGTAGTGTTTTTTAGAAAATGGAGTTATTTTAGCAAATGGTAAACAATTTCACTGGACTTAAACTCTATTGAGAACTTCTGGCAAACTTTCTGCAGGACTGTGTATGTTAGTGATAAACAGTAAAATAACATTGAGAAACTGAAGCAGGCAATTTACTCTTCATAAGAGGGAACTGACATCTCTTTGCAGAAGCTAGTGGAAAGCATATGTAATTGGTTGGGCTGAAAAAAATTGTAGTTTTATAAATTTCCACTGTCATCTGGCTGTGTCTGTCCTTCCTTAATCTTAAGAATGGAATTAGATAGATGAAAGTCGAGACCAGGTAGGGAAAGCTTAGGGGCAGGAAGCCCCAATTAACTATAAATGAACTTCCAGTATAAACCAAAGTCACATTATTTCAATTCAAAAATTTTCCTTCGAGAGGTGTTAGATAGATGATCAAACATGTCTCTATTGATAGCAGGAAAGTATGATGTACAGGAGCTAGACACTACTAATTTGAGGCGGAGAGCATATATTTTAAATCAAAAAATAATTTAAAAATATTATTAAAAAACAATGTCACAATAAATAATTGCTTGTTATGTATTTAACATTGTTTTGAAAAATAGTTCATTTACTGCATATTAAAAAGTTAGCTATATTATTTAATACAAAATGATATATTACTATATCATTTTGTATTAAAAAACAACTTTTCTTTCACTAAATTCTACTATTGCAATTATATTAGTTTTATGTTTTATAATTTTAAAGTGTTCTTAAATTTCCTTATATAATTGTCTTTAATAAGTTTATTAAGTAATTAAAAGTGTTTTTAATTTAATTATAAACTTTAATCACAATTCTTAAGCTTTTATGGTTATAACTTGGCTTAATTCAAGAAGTCAAATTTTCTTTACTGATTAACTTTTTTAAGAAAAAATAAACAAACTATTAGAATTAAAGCTTGTTAAATTGTATATTAGAAATAAAGAATGAAAGGAAGTTTAAAAGATAAACAACATTGAACTAAAATCAATTCAATATATATTATAAAGGTAAGTCTACAATGTGCGTGCTACTAAAACTCAAAAAAGAGTCCCGGTACGATCAAGGGAGTTATATGGTTTGGTAGCTCTCTATCCCCCATCCATGAAGAAGGTTTCCGTTTTTACCTGAAGGGCGTGCTGTTGAAGATATAAGGGCTGGAAGTTTCGCCCTCTAGAAATTTCTAGAACAGTCCAGAACATTTGAGAGTATTCAAGAGCATTCCACAACATTCCAGAATGTTCAGGGATGTTGAATGGTTTGGAGTTGAAAGTTGATATTTGGTACACGGTTAGGATATATCATGAGAACGCACACTAAGAAGGGATTTTTCAAAATTCCTCCCCATGGGGGAGAGGGACAGGATTAAGGCTTAACACTTCCATCAACAATGGAAGTGTCAGGTAACAATGGAATTGTTAAGAGAAAGCAACATGCAAGATGCAGATGCAGTTTTTTTTTTGTTTTTACAAGAAATCGAAATAATTTTAGACCCATCTAAAAATTCTCTAATTAGTCTGGAAACAGGGGGACCTAATTCTTGCATTCTGTGAAAATGGGTAAGGTTAACTATAACATAATAATCTTAATCTTCGCTATCGTTACTTTTGCCCGAGCAATACCAGGCTTACCTGCTAGTAATTAAATAAAAAGCACTTTTTTCATATATAACTTTAGCTTAAGGCTGTTTGAAAATAAGATGAAGTCAAATTCTTATGCTTGATTTGTTTCAAATGTTTGTAATGTAAAAATTATGAAAGANATCTGTATTATTATCATTACTTTTGCCCGAGCAATACCAGGCTTACCTGCTAGTAATTAAATAAAAAGCACTTTTTTCATATATAACTTTAGCTTAAGGCTGTTTGAAAATAAGATGAAGTCAAATTCTTATGCTTGATTTGTTTCAAATGTTTGTAATGTAAAAATTATGAAAGATCATATTTCTGAAGATGTAATAGCATGATTCCACGTCTTAGATATTTTGAATGTGGAAACATTATGTACATTGGATGTTTTAACATACAGTATAATACCTACACTGTGAATAAACAGTCTGCTTTATCTTCTTACATAGCAATCTATTCTTTTGATGATATGATTTTTAATTCATATTACTATGCAATTCATGTTATTTTCTTATGTATAGAAAATAAGTTATGGATTCTCTCTCTCTCTCTCTCTCTCTCTCTTTTTGATAATGGAAACATTTATCAACATCTCAGTGCCCAGTGTTTTAATAATAAGCCAAATGATTGTTGTATTTTAATTGGGCTACTTTACCAAATTAATTTAATGTTTGAGTAATTTAATTATTAATAGTAGTGGTAAATTAGCCCAATTAAAATATGACAATCATTCGGATAATGTAGAGAGAGAGAGAGAGAGAAGGAGAGAGACATGAATAAATTAATGATATCTGAATAAAACCTAAAAGTTTCTTTTTTTTTTTTTTTTTTTTTTTTCCAAAAGATTTAAATTATTAAGATATAGTAGTTTTGTATTGATTGATAATGGTTTTAATTTTAATGTGTACTAAATGTATATTTTTTGTAATTTTTTAATAATTTGATGTAATAATTTAAATTTATTAATATAAATTCTAGAATAAAATCAGTTGGCTTAGAAAAAAGTGTCTGCTGTTATCAACATGATGGTGTTCTTTGCAATAAACGGTCACTGCCATATACAAGACATTGTGACAAACGTATCCTTTTGATGTTCATGAATTTAATAACAAGTTTCCTTATTCTAAAGTTTATTTGATCATAGAAATATATCATGTAAATAATTTTGGTTTCTCATTAATTAAATCTTAAATTTGCATAAGCCTGATTATACTGAATGGCAGTAACACAAGTATCAGTGTAATTTGTTTCAATCTGTATTATTATTATTAGCTTAATGAAATTTGCCTAATTATACATTGTTTACAGTATTCTGTTATATAATGTTGTCACTATAAAATATATAATTTTAGTAATTGAAATGTTAAAAATATTAATACTTTTCATTTTAACTTCCATTTGAGAGCCAAGTTGAAGCTCTATTTTCCTATATAGTTCCCAAGACAGGCTAAACATTTTTCACATTGTGGCACAGTTTTTGGATATTATTTTCATAGAACATGTCCAGTTGTTTATGCAGCCACAGTTGAACTGCTATCTTCATATTGTCATCATTTTCAAAATGGTGATAATCACATTATTCCAGATTCAGACAGTATGGTGGGTGATGAAAAATGGCTTGATCTGGGCATTCCAGATGCTTATAATTCCATTTCCAAACTTCTCACACTACCAATACCAGCTCACATCTTTCCATGCTAGATGATTGTCCCCTAACAAAAAAATTCATTTCTCAATAAATTTTGCTTGTATTCTTGCCAGATGCTCACAAAAGTTGAATTACACTCCAGTGTGTTTCTCCAGTGTGGAAATTGATGACACTCATCATTTTCAAACAGCCATATTTCTACCACATCTCACCAGACAGCATTGAAAAATCTCTGACGCAATGCAGAAGGAACTACCCTCTCATATGTATACAGTGATGCTTCATACTTTGAAATTAATTCATTTCTGGAAGCCATTTAAACTGTGAATCATTTGAAGTTCAAATTAATTTTTCCCATTAGAAATAATGGAAAGTGAATTAATCCTTTTTCAGACCCTAAATAATACTTTTTTCAATAAACTTAAAACAAGTACATATAATTCAAGGTAAAAATGACACAATTAAATGCATTAATAATAAATTAAAACATGAAAACAATAAATGAGATATGTAAATATTATATAACAAAATGAAAGTTGCATTTACTGTTCGAACATTATAGAATTTGGCATCTTATACATGGGCACCAGATATCACACTTGTATTGTTTTCATGCTTTGCAATAAGTTCCTTTTTTCATCTCACTCATTGATATTACAGCCTTCCTCTTGTTAGATTTTGTTGTTTCCACATACTTCTTGGATGCCATGGTTAAAAAGTAAAGGTTTTATTTATTGGATTAAACAGAATATACTTGTATATTTTTAACATATCTTCTTACTTGATTTAGATGTGTGATTTGATTATAACAGTTGTGAAATTTATCACATTATTACTAATTTGAGATTGCATTCTTTGTTTAGAAGCTTATTTTATGCTTTGAGTGCATTTTTTCACTGCATGCTCAGTTCAAACTTTGAAGCATTCATTGAAATCCAAAGCAAATTTTTGACAAATTTGAAGTTAGAGATGTTTGAAATATAAGGTACCACAGTTTTAAAAATATTATTAAGCATACATGTATTGTGAAAATTTTATGGCTAGAACGATGCTAGTTATATTTATGATAATTGGAAAAATAAAAAAAATTATTAAAAGATATATTAATACTCTACTCAAAACAATTAGGATATATTGCAATATCAAATTCATTTTATAGGAAAGTCAATTATGCCATTCTGAGTTTTGCTATATGAACACAAAGAGAAATTTTATATTTTAGAAGCTAGTTAACTGTTCATACTGAATTATTAAAAACTATAATCTCATTTTTATCATGTTAGATAAATTAATGTTTCAGAAATTAGAGAATAATATATACTTTACTAGAATTGATTTTTTATGCAATCTTGTCATAAAATTTAATATTAAACTATTCACAGTAAGTTTAATAAAGTTGTCAGTTCTGTTATGGTTCTAAGATGTTGCTATAATATTCCTTAATTTTTTGAGCAGGGTTTTACATATTTGTTTTACATTCTTAACTTTTTGTTTAATTTTTTTGTTTATAATTTTGAGAATAAATTTTAATTTCTAATGAGTTTATTCACTAGTTTTTATGTAAAACTAGCTTACCCGTCGTGCATTGCTGCGATCTCAGAAGAAAGGAAATTCAAGCAAACTCGTTATGATAAAATTAAATTTTCATTTTATCATTTTTATTGAAACTTATTATTATATTATTATTATTATTATTCATTTTCATCGGGAAAACATTTTAAAGTGTCGTTTCAATTCTATTTATTTATTGGAGTGCTTGTGGATACACAATATTTTTTGTTTTTTCGTCTGGTGTGTACACGAATAAATCAGAAGGTTTTCCGACGCGTGAGCTGGCCACATACAGTTGTCCATGCGAGAAGCACGGATTCTCCAAATTTAACCCACACACTTGCAGCGATTGTCAGAAGTGCGATATTCCTCATTTTTATATATTTTTTAAAATCCTTTATAATTTTCATTATTTAATTGCTCCTTCCTCTCTTCTTTGGCATGTTGTGAAATTTCTGATAGTTGGATAATAAACCGTNCTCTTCCTTGGCATGTTGGGAAATTTCTGATAGTTAGATAATAAACCGTTTTATTGTAATTTGTCTTTTTAAATTATTTCGAGTCGATATTAAAATTTGAAAAAGGGCGATACCTAGATCGGTAAAATAGGCGAATTTCTTCCTACAACTTCGGTCGTTGTTCGGGGTACAGTTAAGATTTTAACGAAGTTCGAGCGAATACATAATTAGCAAAAAAAGTCGAAATAAAGTGATTAAGCAAAAACTATTATAAATATCGTAAATAACAGTTCACAAATGCATATATAGAGATATTTTTTGAAGGGGGAAATGGTCTTCATAATTTGAAATCGATTGAACACACTGTGCGCGAATGCTCGTGTAAACGCGCGCCATAGGATAAATGTACTTCGTGGGAGTGTATTAAAAAATTAAAAAACTTTCCAAAGTTTCATGGCAATCGTACTATGCCACAAACTTTCGCCGGAGTATATTAAACAACTTCCCAAAGTTTCACGGCAATCGGATAAACGGTGTGGTAATGCATGAAGGACAGACAGACACACAGACATACATTCATTTTTATATATATAGATTATTTATAGAAATTTTTAAAACTGAGTAATAATTTATTTTATGTTTATTATTTTTGTGTATTTTTAAAATAAAATTATAAGATTTGTCACTCTTCACAGACTTTTATATTTAAAAAAAATTCAGCACAAGTAATAGAAGGTTAATAACATGATCTTTTTATTAAAAAAAATTTAAAGTTTAAATTCTACATAAAATTATTTTTTCTATAAACAAAATATTATTTAAATAATATTAAAATGTTACTTTGTATATAAAGTTTGTAGTGTTTTTTTGAACTTTTGTGTAAAACATTGATTATTTATATATTCCACTATTATTAAGCAAAAATCTTTAATCAAGATTTTAGATATTATGTATAATGTTGATCAGCTATTATTTGAACATTGTACTGCTAAATTCTCTGATAATACCCAGTGTTGTGTTCCAGTGTTTGACATATGTCATGAATTACCTTTATGCCCAGAACATGCTAAAAAAAGAGTGAGTATAGATTTTTCACATATATTTTATATTTATATTTGTTAAGATTTATAGACCTTATATAAATATTTACTAATTTTATAGTTGAACTATACTATTACTTAAAGTTTGGAATTCTAGGATGTTTTATGAAATTATATACACAGTACAATATATAGGAATTTGCAGTACAGTAGAACCCCTCTAATCCATCATCTTTGGGACTGGGGGTATGGTTGGAACGCAAGAAAGGTCGGATTAGCAGAAAAAAGTAAAGTAAACAAGTCCCTTTGTCCAGTCTTTGTAGCACTGCTAATTTTTCATTTAATGAAAGAGTAACGTGTTTACGTTTCACTCCTAACATGTTGAAAACACACATAAAACTGTACACGTACTGTACACACAGTGTAAAACATACTGTAACGAACACAGAAGAAGGCCACGGATGGTGAGTCACCGACGAGTTGGGACAAGTTTCTCGACTCCTACAACAGTCAGATTAACCAGAGTGACGGACTAGCCGAGGGCGGACTAGAGGGGTTCTACTGTAATTGTATTTTTTTTTTTTTTTTAAATTTATACTGACAAGAGAGGTCATATCTGATGGGAATCAGATTTGGCCAAGGTTTTGCCACAAAATAGGTCATATTGAAAGATGATCATTTAGTACTGACTACCATTTTATAAGAAAATGCCATTTGAATTTTTGTTAGCAGAGTTAGTTGGCATAGTAGAAATGGTCATAAATAATAAATTAGTGAGGCACCACTGTATACAGGCACTTCAGGTATTACATGAATCAGGAATTTTTTAAAAACTTTCAGGAAAAGTCTGGAATTGTCAGGAATATTGACTTCAAAAATTTTGGGGAACACATTGTGTGTTTAAAAAGTTCCAAGAATGGGTCAAAAAATCAAACTATGTTACAATAAAAAGAATAGAGTAGAGCCTCAAAAACTCGGCACTCGATAACTCGGCCACACCCTGGCAGGGCAAAAAGTCCTTAGTTAATTAATTTTCATTATAGACAGCTTTATGCCTCATAAAGTATTTTTCTGGGGTCTGTCTTATCAGGTAAATTACTGTACACAGTGTATTCATTAATTTTCATTTTCATGTAGTAAAGGCTCTATGCCTTCATAAAGGTCGTACTTTTCGTTTGTTTAAGGGTATATGAGCAGTTTATTCTCTGTTGCATTCTCAAGTAAACAATACATACAAATACAGTACAGTATTTTCTGAGAAAACACTCATACTTAGTTTTTTTAACCCCATTCCCGATAACCCGGCATTTTCACAAACTCGGCCACCCTTCGATCCACATTACAGTAGAGCCGCGTTTTCGAGGCTCTACTGTATAACTTAAATTTTTAATTCAGCAATACAATTATACAGCAAATATTTACTGTATAAATGCATTGCTGGATTAAAGATTATTTGAAGTCTATAATGTAACTAGTTTGCTTTTTAAGTATAGTACAAAGAAATTTACTTTTTACAAGGACTGCAAAATTTTTTTGAGTTTTGTATGAATTTTAGTTCTAATTCTAGTTAATTCTTGTATGATTCTTGACCCAAACCATTGTTCCTTTAAAATTGGAACACTATTTTTTCACAATCATCTATTATGTGACCTAGCTTCTAATGACTGTTTTCTTTACCTAAAGTTGAAAAAACTTTAAAAGGAAAACTGTATGAGTCAATACAATTTACACAAGACAATTACTGAAGAAAATCTATTTCTTCAGTTCCTGTAAGAAACTGATTTTTCTGGATGTTTCATGAACTGGAGTTGTTAGAGAAAGTATATTGAAGATCAGGATGATTATTTTGAAAAATATTAAATAAATTTCTTTATATCCTAACATGTTTTGATTTCTTTCATTCATTCCTGGAACTTTTTGAACATATTCCATACATGAATTAATCTTAACATATTCCTAATAAAGGAATTGATTAGTCATGATAAATTTTTTTGTTATTAAATTAAAATCTTGAATAACAATAGCACAAAAATATTTGGAACTCAATAAATTATAACTTTTGGATGAAAAGTTGTTTCTAAGAGAAAATCATACAATATTTAGCATCACTTCATATAATTTTTGTTAGTTTAGAACAAGGGTGGGCAACCTTTTTTATAACATGGCAGAATAAATTTTACGGTTTTTCCGCGGGCCATAGTAGTTAATTGACACCTTGTGACCTGTAAATTTTTAGTCTGCAAATATGAAATAAATAAATAAATAAATAAAAATAAATTAATTACTACAGTCGACCCCCCTATAACACTGTTGATTATTCCGTTTTATATGAATTCCATGTTGTATGAGTCACTTAGATTTTACAAATGCGTGTGCCGGGCTGTGAACGGCTCACCTATTTGTAAAATTTAAGTGACTTAAACACAATAAAAACAGCACTATGTAGTTGGATACGACAGACATTACATTTTCTAATTGCATAGCTTTTGCACATAGATTTTCTTGATGGATGATGCGATGAGATATAAATAATTTAGAAAAATTCTGTTCTCCCATTTTTTGTTTGAATAAGGAAATGACTCCCTTATTTTTTCCTGTCATTGCTGCCGCAACACTTCAGAAAATAATATTCAATTTAAACTAGACGAATTACATCGAAAAATATTTATTTATAATTTCTTCTAAACATCTCGCGGGCCGGATAGAAACTCTTCGCGGGCCGTAACTGGCCCGCGGGCCGGGGGTTGCCCACCGTTGGTTTAGAATATGTTATTAATATAAATATATGCATGTACAGTATTACAAATACAAAAGGAAATGTCACAAGACAATTGATATTCTCTCTCTAAAAAATAATATTAGTAACAAAGAATTAAAAATATATATTTAAATATAACTAGTAAGTTATTTATTATTATTTATATATTAATTATATGTAACAAATTATTATTTAAATAATATTAATGAAAACTTTATGTAAATTAGGATAATTATAATAAAATGGCATCAGAACCAAAGCCAAAGAAGCCAAGAAAAAAATCAAAGCCTTCAGCTCTTACAAGACCACCTAAACGTGGTAAGAAAAAGAAAAGACAAAACCAACTCCGTCCGACTCCAACTTCATCTCCTCCTGCTGATCAGCTTTCAAATAGTTCACAAACAGGTAAAAGTAATTATTTTACATTTTTCATCAAATAACATAAATATGGAATTATACCAAATAAAAATTATTATTAATATATATCTTGAATCATATTAATAAAATTAATATGATTCAATATTAATATGATTCATATTAATAAAATTAATATGATTCAAGATACAGCAGTTGTGTTTAATATAAAACAGTAAAAATTCATCTTTATTAATTACTAATGGCTATGATGTAATGTATTATTTTGAAGTTTTTGAAGTAGGCTTGTTAATTTTTGGATTAGACTAAAGAGAACAATAAAATTATTTAATTTAGGACAAATACATTTTATGAATTACAGTAGAGCATCGATTATCCGACTCAATTGGGGACTCAGGTTGGTTGGATAACTGAAAAAATATCGGATAACCAAAAAAAATGAAAAAAATACATTATTAATATAGTATATCCCATGTAATTATTATATTAGTGTATCGCTATTAACCAACTTTACGTTGAATTTTCATCGATGTTAAGCCTAACAAAAGTTTTTTTTTAATAATAACTGTTGCTATTGTATCGTTAAAAATTATTTTTAAATTACTGTATTTTATTGCTCACAAAACAAACAACCATTCATAATTAGAAAATTAAGTCTTGTTTAAATACTGGCTTCCCTTCAATGGTCGAGCCATGTTGCCAGCTAAAACACTCAAAAATTTAACAAAAATAATATTAAAGTAGCCAAGACATAGACAAATATTGTAGTGCTACATCACTAGAGGACATTTGAAATTTGCCAGCTAGAACGGTTGGTTAACCGATGTGACGGTTAATCGGGGGTCGGATAATCGATTCTCTACTATATATATTTTTATTGAAATAAACATTTTTAGTGATTTTAAGGAACCAGTAATAAAAAAGCCAAATTATAAGACTTGATGGGTGTTCTCTCCAAGCCAGAGGATTAGTTATCTAATCCCCTGGCTTAGAGAGAACATTGATTGATTGAAAACATCATTACTTGCATAAGTAATTCATAATGTTTTTGTGAGCAGCAGTCAGATTGTTATGGGCAACTCAACTATTGCTAAAAATGAATCAAGTGTGTGAATGAGCAGTGGCTGTACAGCTTAGAGAAAACTTTGATAAGAAGAAAACTATGATTATAACTTATGAATAAAATAATGTTAACATATTCTATCACAATAACTGCACAATTTATTTTTTCAATATACAATTCTTAAAAAATGACCATGCACTCAGTCATATATCTTAGAGGAACTATTGATTTGATAATAAAGTTTCAAGTATAATTTCCATTGACTTATACAAGCAGAAATGTCTTTATAAAGAAATAACTGTTGTTGTCTCTTTGTACAAAGTATATCAAAGAAACAACTTTTTAATGGCACTCCAGAAAAATTTTGAATCTTATTATTATTACTATTTATTTATTTATTTATTTTTTAAATTTTTGAGTAATATATAGATCTGTTCATATACAAGAATGATTTGAGATGTTAGAGAGTTCATTATTACTTTAATTTCTTTCTTTCTTTTTTCTGTGTAAATGGAAAGGTTCTTTTTATTTAAGAGTAATGTAGCCTTTTAACTGTTTAAAGTTTAAATAATAGACTTTTTTACTGAAGTAATTTCTGTATTGTTTGACAGATGTTTTCTAATGAATTGTTTTCATTTTTTCTTTTTTGTGAGAATAACGATTGGAACATATTTGTTTTCAAAACTTTTAGAAATTTAAAAATATTTGCTGCTTCAGATAAGAATAGATAAATATTTCCATGGAGATTAGAAAATCAGATTTAAACTGCAAAGGAAATCATCCTTTGGAGTGCCTTCCTCATGCAGACAGATTGTAAGTTCTGTGTTGTCACATGAAAAACATAAAAGTCAGAGAAAATAAAGAAAAATCTGCAGTAAGCAAGAAATTTTAATATTACCTTGTTATTACATAGGAATATTTAGTAATTGTATAGTCAGTGTTTGTTATTGATCAATTGATATTATTTTAAAGTATATTTTAAAAAATACAAAAAATTTGTCTTTTTTCAAAATGAATTTAGTTTTGATTATATTTTGATATTTGTTTAAGTTATTTTAAAATACATTATTAAAGTAATTTTGTTTTCAGAACATTAATCATAAATAAATTTTATTTGATATAGAAATGTCCAAAAGTTTAGAACATGATAATGAAATTAGTGAAACAGAAAACAATGTATCAAGTGTGGCTTTAACAAAAGATTTAGGAGGAAACATAGATACAGAATTAGCTACTGATTTAGAAGAACAGTTTTCTCCAGGTGAGCTAATAAGTATGCATATTTAGTGTATAGTAGACTATACAGTTATTAATAAGTAGCAATATTTTGTATATGTGTAGTCAATTTTTAATATAACCCAGGTCTACATGATTTTTAGTATTAGTAAATAGCTGATGTCTTAGCTAATTCAGTCATACTGAACACAAAAATATTATTAATTTCTTTTTAATGTGTATGGCTTTTCCATAACAGTTTAAAAATTTTAAATTATCATGTATACATTTGTAATGAAGGATTTAAATAGGAAAGAAACTTTCATAATTAAATCTTTTATGATTTTTGTTATTTTTACTGTGAGAACCAGCATGATATTCAATTCAAACAAATTTCAAACAATCTATTCTAGAATGTTCTGGTTAGCTTTTTCTAAAACATCATAAAGATTGCTTTTTAAAAAAATGAAAGTTTGCAAATGAAATCATTTTCTTCAAAAATAATAATACATATTTTCAGGAGAGCAGTAGTTTATTGTGAAGAAGTATCTTTAATATGAATACTGGATTTAAATTTTAATGTAATGACAAGTTTATTATTGCACTTGTCAAAAACCACAGTACTACTACTCAAACTTTTAAAATGCAGTACAGTTTTATTTTTCAAACATTTTCGGTCATCTTAAACAACCTTTTTCAGGACAGAAAGAAATCAATTTCAATTTAAAAGGAACAACAAGAGTTGGAATGTCTTCTGGAATAAGCTTATTTCGAATATTAATGTTTTAGAACACACATATTTAAATTTTTGTTGAGTTTGAAAGTGCAATGAAAATCACCGATGTCTCTAGTGAAGAAAGTGTACCATTGTTATTTTGGCAGTGAGGTGGGAGATCAAGACAAAACTTCTAAAATATGCTATAAATCATGCAAATGGACACTGACTGGATGGTTGAAGGTCACACACAAATCAGTAGAGAGGTTGTGGCCGTCATATTCAGCCCAAAACATGAACGGCAGACCGTTGAGCGCCACCATCTGACAATTCTGGATGGTCGATAATGGCAGTCGCTGCATCTAGCATGGCGAACAGACGATCGGCTTAAACTTCTTCATTTTTTTGTGTTTGGGGATTTAAATTATGACTTATTTTATTAAAATAATGATTATTTAAGCAGTTATGAATAATATTGTAAAGAAACAGACAATTTTAACCCAGAAATTATTTAATTATTCAATTTTTTAGCTAATGAAAGGATTTACATATATTTGCCTTCATAATAGCTTATCTTAAGGTAGGTTTGTTCTTCCACAGCATCTTCTACCATCAACAGTGTAATACGTTTGTAAATTTTCTAAAAATTAATTTTCTGAATTTACATAAGCCACTGCTTCCCTCGACAAAAGTATGAAGTAGTCCTATCGTCTGATCGTACAGTAGGAGACACCACACTAATTAAAAATAATTATTTAATGTTATTAAACATCCTATAAATACTTTAAAATAGTTTAATTTGTTTATTTACCTTCACTGGTAACCCTCGATGTTAAATGTATCTGACATTTTTTCAACAAATTTCTCGTGAGTCAATGCGCGATGTTCACTGAGTCATGTGATGTTGTGAACGTGCGCCGCAACGATTTTTTCTTGGAGTTAAAACGTAAACTATGTACTTCTGTTTGCCGTGTATAAGTAACGTTTGAACTTGCGCCGCAACCTCTCTAATGTCTTTTGCCATCCTTATGGTCTGGTGGGAAACACAAAATCATGTCAATGATTGATACTTTTTCGTGACTGACATAAGACTTTACAGCAAAATCAGAAAGCTAGATAAATTATTCCAGCTGTCCATCTGTGCTTCAACCAATGCCTCGTGATGAATTAATGCTCATATTGGCCCACCTCTGAATTTTATGGAAGATTTAAAGGAGGAAACTGGTGCTGAAGATGCCAACAAAATGACAATTAAGTTGTGGTGAGCACCATAGCTTTGGTTGAATGAATTGTGCTTTGGATCTTTCAAAAAGAAAGATCCAAAGCACTGCACAAAAGTTTCCACTGCTGGAGGTGGAAACTTCAGGTTGATTTACTGAATTTATATAAGTGTTTTTCTACCTTTTTCTCATTGCAGACCTACAAGGTCTGTTCAAAAAGTATCGGACCTTTGGTCGGCAAAAATAAATTTATTGACTTTGAGGTACAAAACCCTAATCCCCTTCTCCTTGGTAATGTATACACTTCTCCCAGCGTTCCTGCCATTGCTGAAAGCACTGCTGGAACGCATTTTCTGGAATGGTCATCAGCCGGTCCGTCGCATTTCGCACGATGTCTTCTCTCGACTAAATTCGTGTTCCTTTTAGCGGCATTTTCAGCTTGGGAAATAGCCAAAAGTCACACGGAGCCATGTGGGGAGATTACGGAGCGTGACGAACCACAGGAGTGTTGTGTTTGGCAACGAAAGCCTGAATCAGATGCGCAGAATGGGCGGATGCGTTATCACGATGGAGCTGCCAAGTTTTGATCGACCACAGATCCGGTCGTTTGCGTCGCACTGTATCGGAAAGACGACGAAGGACCTCCTGGTAGTACTCCTTTGCGATGGTTTGGCCTTGTGGTGCGTACTCACGACACACCACCCCACGAGAGTCGAAAAAACTGTCAACATGACCTTTGATATTGCTGCAGACCTGCCGCGCTTTTTTTTGGCCTCGAGGATCGTCCCCGAAAGCCTGCTGAATCTTGCGAATGATTTACACTCGGGTATCGCCAAGGTTTTTGGCAAAATTTGATGTAATACCGCTGCTCGCGTTGTTCAGTCATTTTTCAGCTTAGTGGAATCCGACGACAGCGCTCTACATGACCTCACTCATAGGCCGATTGCTAACGACTGACGCTTCCTGCAGGCGGGAAAAAATTCAGAGATGTGCATGACTGTCCCCTCCACAACTCCACCAAAGGAGGCCTCTCGCGCATCATTGGTTTACACGGAAAAAAATAAGGTCCGATACTTTTTGAACAGACCTTGTATAAAATTATGGATAATTTTATGCAGACCAAGTAATTATATGCAACTATGAATTATGCTTATTTATTAAGTATACTTACCTAGAGTTACTGATGTAATTTGTTACATACAGTAACTCTAGATTACTATTTAGAAGTCACCCATAATCAACTGTGCCAAGTTTCAATACAGTCAAATATTTTTTTGTAGACCAGCAGTTGAAAAACGCTGATTTATATCATGTGTAAATCATTTTTTAGGTTTTACATTTACCATTGGTCAAAATCATACCAATCAGAAGAAACCATTGCTGTACTAGAGTTACCTGGCTTATTCATTTCATGAAATTTTAATTCACAATATGCTTTCTCTGCACCAGTGAAACTTGTCATTTTTTCAGACATGATACTAGTGTGCAATAATTTAAAAAGTATGTACATGAACTGTTATTAGAGATCCAAGATAATTTGGTTAATATGTCTAGAATTTTATCATTCAGAGTTAACTATCTTATTTAGATTTGTTTTTTGACAATTTTAGTATTTCAGTAGTCTTTTTGGTAATTTCACAAAGCTTTCAATTAATTATTTTACTTTTTTTCTCTTCTGGTAAGTTCATATTAATGGCTTACCAGGTATGTTTATAATTTGATCTTGATATTGTTCAGCAATTTTAATCAGTTTCTCACCATTAAGAGTTTTTGTTTTTCTGTAACACAAAAAAGAAAAATATAAGTAAAAATTATTTAATGTGAACTTTTGATTTCGTAAATTAGCCTTTAATCTTGAAACTTTTGTAAATCATATGTAAACATATAACACCTCATTTTAACTTTTAAATTTGTAATTCTATAGATTACATAAAATGCAACCATGCCGTTTTTTTCTGATACTTTACTTGATTATATGTCTATATATTTATATTAAAATATTTTAAAAATTTTTTAATAGGTACCATAGATAAATCATTAGAACTACCTTTAGACACAGTCGAATTAGCTAATCAAGCAACTAAACTTTTAGAAGAACACGATTTTACGGAAGTTTTAAATAAAATTCCAGATGATGCCTTTAGCGATTTATTTTCAGGTAAATCATGCTGTAATTATTAATAGTTAGTTATGTTTAATTATAAGTACGAGTATATAAAAACGTCGTTCATTTAATTTCAGAAATATTCCTTTAATTTCGAATTCAATTCGATCCTCATTTAGATGAAAAGATTACTAATTACAATCTTTATGGATTTACGTTAAATGTTTTTTATTTTGAAAATATTTTACTTTAAAATATACATTTGAAAATTCAGTTCGCGTATTTAAAACATACCGTTACTATTTGATATTCTCTGAAGAGCCATTTGTGTCCTCTAAAAAATTTCTTTAGAGACAATGCTGTGAAAACAATTTTTGTAAAAGAAAAGTGTCATATTTTCGTAAATAAATTTTATGTTAATAATTCTGAGAGTTAAGCTAAAATATTTTCTTAACGAATTATTTAATTAAAAACTAATATGTGACTTTTTTCTTAGAAGCGAGGAACGGCGAGTACATTCCCAGTAAGGAAGAGACGGAAGAATTAGAGAGGGCGCTGGCAGCCGTGTCGAAAGACGTGCATTTGGCTAAAGAATCTCTGGCCAAATTATCGGCCACGGGACAAGACATCGACGAATTGGCCGGTACTATCGATATTCACGGTGGTCTCCTGAGTGCAGATAACTTAGCCGGCGCCATTGATGAAAACGCATTCCACGAGCTAGCGCAAGGACCCATAGAAGGACTGGGTGTCATCTCCAACAGCCTTTCTACCAGTGACTTGAATTCGCTCTCTCAGGCCCTTTCTAGTATCACGTCGGATAACCTCGCACAAAGTACTCTGACCACTTCGGTCACCGAAGGACATTTGCATAATCCATTGGCTTCCGTTCCAGTTCTTACGTCGGAAGTGGCTCACACTCAAGTATTGAACGGATTGGCAGGCATTCACGCCATATCTCCCGAATCTGGATTTGGAATGAGCACACAGTATATGGAAGGAAGCGCATCTACTCAGAACTCCGTGGAGAACAGATATCTGCCAGGCACGCCTTCCCTTCTGTCGTCGATTCTATATGGCCTGGGACAGAACAATTCGTCTTCGCAGACGTCATACCCGACGTCCCAACTGCCCGCTCCCAGTAATGGGGGTGGAGGCGGTGGCGGCAGGGAAGAAGAAAACTCGGCCGCCTCTACCGGAGGACCTTCTGTGGCCAATTCTTCGGGCCACTGGCTGCTCAATTCTTCGGAACAGGTGCTGGCCCTGTCGCAAATGAATTATCAGAATGGATTTCTAGTTACTTCTCAGGCGGGGGCCACCTATTCCGCCACTCAACAGTTACTGACTTCGGTGGGCAAGTATCCCCTTCAGGCTCTCAGCGCCGAAGTTTCGCTAGTCTCCGGTAGCACGCCGTCGGCGACGTCCACTCGCGGCGACGGCGCAACGTGTGGTGCTAGTGACGAACTGCTACATAATCTACACGCGTCCAACAGTGCGACGGGAACGTTGCAGCAGACGAACGGCGCGACGGTGATAGCGCAGGAAGGCGCTTCCTAGCACACCGTCGCCTGGCCGACGGGAGAGACGTCGGATGGAACTTTAGACGATGCTTTTTTTAGTGAGAATTTAAAGCGTAAGATTTAGAAATTTTTTCGGGACGTAATTGTAGAAAAGTCGTAATCGTGAAGACGTCGGGCGTCCTCCGTCTTGGCACGTCTCGACCGGCGCGTTGGCGCCGACGGCATTCCGCTCAATTCCGAGTCGCGTGCGTCTTCGTTCCGTGTTTCGAGTCGTTGTTTTTTATCGACGGAGGACGCTCGCCATATTTGTATAGCTCCGTTCTCGAGAATGGCTTTTTTCCTGTACAGATATTTAAATGTTACATTTTTCTTTGTACATTCAGTTGTTGTTAGTTTAAACGGAGGACCACGCTCGACGACGATCTGTAAGTAATTTTTGTTATTTTTACCGAAAAATCATTTCGATATTAACTAAAATTTTTCGTAACACTTTTATCGTTGTCGCTTCGACGCGAAGAGAAACGAGGATCGGTACGCCGCGCGTTGCCCCGGCTGTCAACGGAAGAACCGACGGAGCAGAGCGTGCGAGATTGGGTCAACGCATTTTACGGACGGGTTTTTATCTGTGAATCCTTTTAAAAACGACGTCTCTGGTCGTTATATTTCTGAAAACATGCCGCCTTTCCAGAACTGCCTCGATCGCAGATTAAATGTAGTCTCTACTGTATGTTCCAAAACTTTTATAGAAAAAGCCATGTTCAGTGAACTGATTAAATTATCTTTTCCCGTTGACGATAGAAGCGAGTGACAGGTCCCACTCGCTCGTGACTAGTTCATCCGATTGACCTGGTAGCATGACTGCGACCGGCTGGGACATCGACAGTGTACCGACCTCGCAATTGCGTCGTCTTCCCCTTCGGCTTTTTTTAATTCGCCGACGACGCGTCGTCTTCGATTGGGACATCTTCCGAGAGTCGGATCATGTTCGGAACGACGAGTCGAGAAGAGCGCGGCACCGGCTACCTTTCGTCCGGGGAACCGTTGGAGGTGCGAACTGGAGGATATTTCCGATGGAAAGCATCCGACGGTGCCTCGGAATTGGCAAGCCGATGGTCAGACCTGAACGTTCGTCGGTTTATCTTTACTCGAGTGTAAATTCCTACTGTCCGAGAAAGTTGCGTGTACGCGGCGTGATTTAGACGTATACTGTAAATTCGTGTCACTGGATACTCATCAATAAATCTATTTTCGTATTACATTTGGGATACGAAATTCGTCTCTTTCTTTACGCCATTGCGCTCCATTATCCTGCGTAATTGACTCGTCGCGTCAGATACGAGAATTCCAGAAATGGGCTGGTCGAGACCGCAGATTATCGCATCTGCAGTCTCAAACGGAACGGAATAGAACAACGCGGACTTCATTATGAATAATTCTGAATCAGTAGTTCATAAAAACAACAATAATTTATATTTTTATTGTTTAAAAAATAAGTAAATTTGGTGTGGGTGCAATGAAACTATACAGTTTCCCGTGTAGAAATTTAGCGAGAATATTTTTTAATTGCTAAAGTACGTTCTGAAACGTTAGTGGTATTATAGATGAAGGGAAGTCGACTAAAAATGACAAGTAATGAAGCAGAAGAAAGTACCAATATCTTACGTTTCTATTTCATTTCTAAGGCTACGTGTCCAGCGACTAGTTGCAGGAATGTGTTATCGAGAGAAGCGACCAAACCCATGCAATCCCAACTCGCTCGTTCCGTATAATCACGTTTTGTGGCCACTAGTTAGCGCGAATAAGTAGCTACCGAGTTTGGTCGTGTATTCCATTTTACGCGCTTCCTCGAATACCTGCGGCTACCCCCACCCCCGAACGACGCGAGTTAATCACTTTACAAATCGAAGATTTACTTGCATTGGCTGCATCTATTAAAGTTATTTGCGCGATGTTTTAACATCACATTGTCGTTGATTTACCATTAAAAATTTAATCTGATGGGTTGTATATATGACAATTCAGAATATTATTACTATCTTTGCCAAAAAAGAGGGGAGGATTCGATAAAAAGTCGAGGAATCTGAAGAGGTCGACGATCGAAGTTTGGGGACCTCTGGATTAATGTGATAATTCAATAATTCGTCTTTAATTAAAAAGATTTAAATTTATTTAATATAGTTCTTAATACAGTAGACCCACCTATAACGCTTAGATACGTTCCACTTTATAAGAATTTTACGTTGTAGGAATCCTTAAATACATGAGCCAATCACAGCCCGACACGTGTGAAGTTTACAGACTAAGGCTGTTTGAAAGGTTTTCTTCTATAAAATTAACCGATTCTAGACTAATTCGACTCAACATTTCCAAAACACGTATAATTTTTTGGGAATAATCCGTATAAACTATGCTATAAACAAAAAATTGTAGGATTACTTACCGAGTGTGCACCGTTCGACTACGCCGTTGCTTACGCTTGTTTTCGTCGCGGAGCAGCGCACCAAACGGCGGCCGCGTTTTCTGAAAAATTATTTTTCTGCGAAAAATTCGTTGACCTTTGGAGACATCATTAATATAAATAATTTTTATGGCCGTTGAATAAGAAATGTTTCTTTCACAAGAAATGTATAAAATTAGTGCTGTATTAGACTTACGGTACCTAATTTACATACTGTACAGTACAGACGATAGTAAACTCAACTTACTCGCCTAAACTCTCTGTAGCGTGGCGCTGGACGGCCGAAAGTATATATATAATTATAATAATGTTACAATAAATTAAGTTAATATATACAGTAGAACCCCTCTAGTCCGCCCTCGGCTAGTCCGTCACTCCGGTTAATCCGACCGTGGTCGGACTCGAGAAACTTGTCCCGACTTGTCAGTGACTCACCGTCCGTGGCGTTCTTCTGTGTTCATTATAGTATATGTTTTACATTGTGTGTACGTGTACAGTTTTGTGTGTGTTTTCAACATGTCAGGAGTGAAACGTAAACACGTTACTCTTTCATTAAATGAAAAATTAGCAGTGCTACAAAGACTGGACAAATGGAAGATTGTTTATTTTACTTTTTTCTGATAATCCGACCTTTTTTGCGTTCCGAGCAGACACCCAGTCCCAAAGGTGACGGACTAGAGGGGTTCTACTGTAATTATATATACAGTACCTAATGTATGTATAATTAATATATAATTATATGTACAGTACCTAATTTATATATAATACTGTGCAGACGATAGCAAACTCAATTTACTCGCCTAAATTTTCCGTAGCGTGGCGCTAAACGGCAGAAAGTAGTTCGGCTACTCGTCCACTATTGGTCCAGATTCGACCAATCTTGTCACGACATGAGTCGGCGACGACGTTTTACGAGTCCCTTTATACGAATACTGCCACAATTTTTTCGCTACATTATAGGAATTTCCGTTATAGGAACCCACATTATAGGGGGGTCGACTGTATATCAGTTCACAAATAGATGTCACGAACGTTAATATTGACAAAACTGCATGTAATTTTAAAGGATAAGTGTTTTTCTACGTTTTTCTCATTGTAGACCTATAAAATTATGGATAATTTTATGCAGACCAAGAAATTATATATACAACTATAAATTCTGCTTATTTATTTAAGTACGAGTATATTTATTGAGAGTTACTGTATGTAACACACTACATTATGTGAAATATTAATGAAAATATTTCATATAATCTTAAATAAATTATAAGCAGTTTTGAAAACAAAAGTCATTTCAATAGTGAAACATATTATTTGATTCTATTTATAGTAAAAAGTTGTGTATTTTAAATTAACTAGCCTAAAAATCATGTATAGCTTATACATATAAAACGTTAGCAGGATTACAGTAGTGTAATCAGATCCGGCGTAAAGGATGACCCACGTTAAGATTTAATTTTCATTGAATTTAATTATATTTATATATAAGGCCCGTTTCCTAAAACTTATTAGCCTAACATAATGATTTTTTATTCTATTAAATATTAGCTAATAATAACGAGCAATTGCTTATTGTGACATTGTTACAATTCCGGGCTGCAATTTTTAGTTATATTTTTAGTTAAAAATAAACTTTCCATATTTGCAACTTTTTATGCGTAGAGAATCCCTAGTTTCAAAAACATTGCCGGCAGCCTTAAAGTCTACACTAGACCCAGTTGTACAGTACAAGTGTTAATTTACATCAAGTCATTTTTAAGATGCTGTTTTAAAAATGAACATCTGGAAGCACGGTGAAGATTGCTATTCAGGCCAAGTGCTGTGTCCATTTTTAGAACTTAAGGATGAATTACTGGCCTTTTTCTAAAATAAAGTACAAATGTTTTTATAAAATGTCTTTAAAATAATACTTTATTTGGTTTGTTAAAATGGCATACTTAATCGATATTTTTATTTACTAGAATGGCTTAATACAAATATCCAAGGAAAACATGAGACCATTTTGGCATCCACTGACAAATGTCAGAATTTCAGAAAAAGTATCTTTTTGAAAAAGCACATATCAGAAAAAATACAGACTTCATAATTAAAATGCAGATGGAATTAATTTATTTCTATTGTATTAAAACATTTAACACTATTGGAAGAAACGATTAAAAGCTAGTTTCTTTCCTAAATACAATAGAGCGTCGTTTATCCGAATCAATTGGGGACGGGTTATTCGGATAACCGATTATATACGAAAAATACATTAACCTATACCGTGTTGAAATTTTTCTTCTTTGCGTGTCGCTTCGCGTTGAATTTTCGTCGATGTTAAGCCTAACGTAAACTTTTTAAAATAATAATCGTGGCTATTGTATCGTTAAAAATTATTTCTTTATTTTGTACAAACAAAATAAATATATTGAAAAATATAAAAACAAAAAAAATTATACTTTAGAAGTTATCTAGTATCGAAAACGTTTGATTCAGCATGAAACACAGTCCTCAAAAAAACACCACACAAAAGTGGCAGTGCTGCCAGCTAAAACACACAAACACAAAAAATATTGGAGTAGCCCAAAATATAGCCAAAGATTACAGCGCCACATCACTAGCGAAAATTTAAATTTGCCGACTGGAATTCTTTCGGATAACCGGGTTTCGGTTAAACGATGCTTTACTGTATAGAAAACTAGCTGTTACCCGCGGTTTTGCCCGCGAGGATTTTGCAAGCAAACCCCATTTATATTCAGTATTTCAACAACCATAGTAATTGTTATATAACACCTACCGCTGAGAATGATGAGAATTGCCGAGAATCAAACGAACTATTTTCAATTTGATCAATTTTCTGGAACGTTTACAATCGTTCTACAATCGAACCAATATGCAATAACAAATTCGAATTTAAAACGGTTCGAACATTTTTAAAACTGAAATAGATAAAAATATTTATAACAATGTCTGAAATGTTATTAATTTAATACACCTAAGTACTCAATGAAGACTAAAAGTAGTTGGAAACAAAAAATCGCATCTAAAATAGTACAGTAGAGGCCGTTTTTTCCGGTTGATCCTTAATTCTCTCCCTCTCCCCCGCGGGGGAATTACGAAAAATCCCTTCTTAGTGTGCGTTTTCATGACGTACCCTGTGTAGACTGCATCTAAAATAGTACAGTAGAAGCCGTTTTTCCGGATAAGCTTTAATGCTCAGATTTCAGTTCAGACTTGCAACTCGATTTTGTCACTTTCCTCAATTATGTCAGAATAGATCACTAGAATAATAAAATCCTGTTTTGATTATGATAAAACGCTACGCAATTGATACAACTAATCAAATGCCCAATATTAAGCGAAAAGTTGTGTACAGTACATTACAGTACAGTACTTGAATCCTGCCCCCAAGACTGGGCGCGTTTGGAAATTCATATGAAATTCGGGACGACACGGCTTTCTGATCTTGGTCGCTTTGTGTCGCGAAAACAAAATGTTGTTTTATTTTTTTTTTCTAAATTTTTAAAGTCGCGGCCACATTCGTCACACAATACAATGTGTCCGCCGTTTTGTAATTTAACAGAACAACTGTAACCGCTCTCTCACCTTGGTTACTTCGGTAAGTATCGCAGAACTACCGGTGACGTCATAACCGGGATTTTTCAACGCGGTTGGTTATTCAGGTTAAATTTTGTAAACGTAGTAATTGCCAGCACTTACCGGTAACACCGGTTAGAATTTCGAAATGCGCTCTATCTGACATCATTCTTAAGTTTTCAAGAAATTATTGAAATTATTTCTCATGCCACTATAGACTTTCA